GGGACATGTTCTCTCATTACTTTCTCATTTTCTCTCTGTACTCCCCCTCAACTGGAGCACTCGGTATGCTTTGTCATTGTTAGGCACCGGGAAGGATAACATTGATCACTCCCCCTAGAATGTTGCATCCGTTGAGAGATTCCTTGCTTTGTCGGTGTAAGGCGCCAGGAGGAGAAAACTGAAACTCCCCCTCAGAATGTGCAAGGTTTGATTGCTCTCAGCTTTTCATACCCGCTATGTGTGTGGAGCAATCTAAACATGTACCACACATGACGGTTTCCCTGAACTCACCATGTAGAATTTCAGCATATTGATGAACACATAATGTTGATGAGTCAGGGGAGGCTTCAGCAGTTGATTGTTGATTGTTGTAAGATGACCGTTGACGCGAGGTTGATTGAATTATCTACGATTTTCAGACCTTTACATTGAAGTTTAGAAAAGTTTTGACCTCAGGGTTGACAATGAAAGAATTTGAACAGATTTGCCTAAGTTTTGGCCTGGACATCGGTGATTTACAATGTTTGTCGGAAAACTCACGTTTTGACCCTCAAAGACTGCGAGTGAGGGCGCGTGAGATTGGGTTCTGGGGCGTAGCCCGAGAATTAATTTAGATCTTTGCGTTAGCTTTCCAACAAAAAAAAGTTTGCTCAAATCGGATCACCGAGTCAAAAGTTATGGCCAAAACAGTGTGGTGTCGCAGAAAATCTCCAATTTTGAGTTTTTGAGGAAAATCTTCGAGGTTGAGGTTCTCGATGTTGAATTTCGAGAGCAGGTGAATTTAAACAAAATTCTAAGGCAAAAACTCGAAATCCAAATCAGGAGATTTTAATTTCCAGTGTGCCTTGAAGAGTAATGATGAAATCCTCCTGCAAAACAGACCTCAGAATGACGAAATCTTCAGAATTTCAAAATGTTTGGAACCTCGAAAACTTTGGAGTTTCGAAAAATCTCATAATCTCGAAAACTTGCTGTTTGAAAAACATCAGAACATCGAAAACTCCTGAAACATTTATATAAGCAGGGAATCATTCAGAGATCCTTATAATGTAAAGCTTCGATGAACTGCAAAGGATGTCAAGATTCGAATTATGAGTTCCAAGAAACTGCAAACTTTGAAAGATTCAAAACATCGAGAAATTCCGAAAATTCTGAAATTTTTTAGAATGTCGAAATCCAAAACATCGAGTTCCTAAAACTCGAAATAAATTCCAAAACTCGCAATTCTAAAACTCTCAATTTTTTTTAAAAAACTCGAGGTTTTAAACTCGATGTCATGACCGCGAGTTTACAAACTCGAGTTCATGACCACGAGTTTACAAACTCGAGTTCATGACCGCGAGTTTACAAACTCTCGTTCATGACCGTGAGTTTACAAACTCGAGTTCATGACCGCGAGTTTACAAACTCTCGTTCATGACCGCGAGTTTACAAACTCTCGTTCATGACCGCGAGTTTACAAACTCGAGTTCATGACCGCGAGTTTACAAACTCTCGTTCATGACCGCGAGTTTACAAACTCTCGTTCATGACCGCGAGTTTACAAACTCGAGTTCATGACCGCGAGTTTACAAACTCGAGTTCATGAGCGCGAGTTTACAAACTCGAGTTCATGACCGCGAGTTTACAAACTCTCGTTCATGACCGCGAGTTTAAAAACTCGAGTTCATGACCGCGAGTTTACAAACTCGAGTTCATGACCGCGAGTTTACAAACTCTCGGTTTTAAAAACTGTCGAATTTTGAGAATCTGAAAACTGTTCTGAATAGCCCTGAAGGTCGCGATCCCTCCTGTATCTGTTTCAAGTCAAAATCGTTTCTGCAGGCATATAAAAGCATAAACTCGAGTTTTCAATGAGAGTTTTTCGAAAATGAAAATTTGCAGAAAACGAAAAAGAAGATATGCTGTAGAATCGGTTTTGAGAGGCGATTCCAACAGTATAATTTTTTCAGATTTTCGTTCACAAACAAGATTACAGGAGCAAAACTCTATATGAAGAAAAAAAAGAAGAAAAGCAGAGCATTCTTCGTTAGATCCAAGAAAATCGCAGATACATTCAACCTGTTTCACGCCTTGGCTCTGATACCAATTGATAATCCCATAATACTAACAAACATACAACCACAACAGTTATAGAAGAAGCAGATAGAAAGATATGTAGATATTATACGAATCTGGTATACCGTGTAAACTGGCCGCCGCTCTCCCTGGAGAAGGAGAGCAGCGGCAACCCTACTCTCTATCTTTACGCCTCTAAACTCTAAGCCTCTATCAATCGTTGAGGTTCCCGTAAGTTAGCCTCCTTTTATAGGAGAAGTTAGCTAACTTACGGGTTACAAGGAAGCCCACGGGCTGATACACATTTGTGGCCCATATTACACGTTTAATTGATAACTACACAAATACAAAGATAACTAACTAGATTGAACACCATAAAATATTCCCAACAGCTTAACCGGGGCAATTAATGACGTATTTATTAGAATTAATGCTAGATGATTAATTCTAGCAGTTTCATGTATATTATGAGAGTTATTGTTGTAATTATGGCGTAGGTTACTCAAATGGCTGACCAGAATTTATGACGACATAGTGACGATTTTGATGTCGTCGTAACGGTCAAAACCGTCAACAACGGACAAAATGGCATTAAATATCTCTCTTATAAATAGAACCAAGCTCTATGTAATCAGGGGAACCTGGATTCGAATTACAGATCAATATACCTTCTATTTTGCTTACTTGACACCCTTGTTGTTGTTGTTGTCATTTTCCTTACCGTTCTCGTACGAAACTCAATCAATATATAATTTTTATTCTAATTAGTTTTAGTTTATCAAAATTTGGCTAAAACACCTAATTGTTCCCATTTGAGGAGAGAGGATGGTCGCAGAAGAAGGGACGACCCTAATGCTAGTTGTGCGATCTGCCCAAACGATCGTCCCCCAGCCTGGCGCTCAATTTTCATCTCAGGTGGCTTTCAGATGGAGGCCGGATGAATGAACGAAGACTATATGTCGTATACTCCCTCCGTTCCCAAAAATACTTCCCACTTTCCTTTTTGGGTTGTTCCCAAAAATACTTCTCACTTTCCCATTTTGGACAATTTGTGTGGCTCACATTCATTTTACCTTTTTCTTACACAACCACAACCATACATTTCCACTTTATTCCACTTTCTTAATAAGCGTGCCAAGTCAAACCGGGAAGAATTTTTAGGAACGGAGGGAGTATATGACCGTAATTAGTAAATTGGTGGCTTCAAATAGAATTTCTGAACAACCAAACATAATTGACAAAAATCAATGCATACTTCTTATTAAGCACTACTTCAATTCGTGTCTTTATTAGTAGAGAATCGAATTGAGTTGAATATATATATTTGATTTGAGCTTGATAACTTTCTAATTGATTTGAATTTAGGATGTGTTTACATGGATTGTTTTTGGTCCCAAACCAGACCGGACCAGTTCAAATCGGATAAGCAAATTTCAGTCCAAGTAAAAACATCCTTATACTTTTTAGAATTTGAACTTAAAAGAGTACTTATATTTGATTTGATTACTTTTTCGACTACAATTGATTATATTCAAATATTAGATTCGAACATTCATGTTTGAATATATCATTACTTATTTTTCATAATTATATTATATATTATACGTAGTACATAGTACCATGTGAAGAAGTGTACATTACCATTGTGCACCATTTAGTTAATTGTCAATCTTTTAACAAGATTAGTGGTTAGAATTTGTTCTCAATTCTCACAACAAAGAGTGTTCTCATTGGCAGGGTCGGCCCAGGCCAAGTGCCACCTGTGCGATCGCACCGGGCCCGAAAATCCTGAAGGCCCAATTTTTTTGTAGTCCTTCTACCTGATTAGAGCCCAATGAGTAAAATCTCACTATTTAATTAAAAAGTTTTGAGCGAGGGGAATCGAACCCTTGCCAACCTTCTCACACACGCCGGCGGCGAACCAACTCAACCAAATTGGTTGATGTTAACACTCTTTCAATTTTTGTTTTTGTACTAAAGAATTATTGATATAACTCATAAGATTTTAAGCCCAATACCATCCACTACAATTATTGAAATTAATATGTAATCAAAGTAATGACTATTTTTTGTATTCCATGCCATTATTAAATTAATAACCAATTAGATATTTATGAAATATTCATTAGATTTATCAACTATATTTATAATTTTTTATATAAATATTACTTTGACAAATTATCCATTCAATTCCAAACACATCTTACATTTATGAATTCTATTTTAGACAGTGATACATTAATTTTTAATTTAATATTATAAGCATTATTAAATTTTAAATAAGAGTTATTTTAGGAAAATGCCACATTTGTTTTTTGCACTCCTTGATGGCAAATGCATGTAGTTAATTGTATACATTACCATTGGGTACCACTTCATTAATTGCCGATCATTTAACAAAATTAGCCATTAGGATTTATTTTCACTTCTCACAATAAGAAATATTCTCATTGGAATCACTACTTTAAATGTAAATGCATATATATGAGAGATTAAATAAAACCCAATGAACAATAAAACTCTGAATTAAATACTCCTAACAAAAGTAAAGATCCAGTGACATAAATCAGCAAAAGATTAGGAATCTGCTTGTGCAAAGAGAGCTGTGTGGTGCACTCTCAACAACCACATTGACGGAGGAGGAGATCTAGAGTGGACATGTGCTGGATGTCGTAGTCAGCAAGAGTGAGGTTGTCGTCGAGTCTCTTGCCGCCGAACATGAGATACTGATCCTTAAAAGGGATACCTTCCAAGTCCTCAATCTGTTCCTTCAAATCCCGAATGATGTCTGAAGATTCAACCTCGAGGATAATTGTCTTCCCTGTCATGGTTCCTACATATATCTCCATCATTGCACCTGTGGTGGTCCTCGGCTGCTGCTGCTTCCTATACTTAACTTGGCGGAGGTCATCCTCGGGTTCATCGTTTCTCTTCGGAGTAGCAACCGCGTACACATGAATAGGCTGGGAAAGCGAAGCCACATCCAAAAACCACTCCAGTGATTGATCATCCATCAGAGGGATAGAAACAAACAGGACTTTGCCTCCAGGAAGGGTGGTCGGGTACTTTCCAAACAAGTCAAACATTTTGTCCCTGTCATCGCCGTTCATTGCCATGTGCACTTTCCTAACCAGCTCTGCATAGCTGTTGCCCCTTCGACTCAAGAAACACATCGTTTTTGGTGGCTCAGAGTAATCAACGGAGCCGAGATATCCATTCTTTATTACTTGACCTCCCCAAAATAACAATGCAGCAACTTGATCTCCACTACCTTCATTTACAAATATCAGCTATTTGTATGACAATACCACTTATTTAAACGTGTATACAACAGCAACAAAAAACTGTCATAACCCAATATATATCATACCTTCCATTTCCTCTTGCAGTACTACTTCTGTATGTTTAAACAGAGAAACAATGCAACTTCCCTGAAAACGGTCAAGTACAAAAAAAAACAAAGTTGAGATTAAGAGAATTTAATTTAACCTGCCCAAAGGATTGCCTCCATATGAGTACACATCTTAGGAATCGTAGTAAAGTATAGAGTTAAATTAAAAAAAAACGATTTACTGTACAAATTTATCATTATTCAATTCCTTCTCCAATGGAAGCTACTAAGCTAGTTAAATACCTAAACAGAAATTGAACTTAAAACACTTAAAAAAATATTAAAAACACAAATTCCTAGGTATATAAGCAGCAGATGAACGCTCCGGAAGAGGCCAGACAGATGCTATTGAGATCAATCGAATGAAAACTTTTTAATATATTTCATTAACATTAGGAACCATAATAATTTTATATAAAACGAACACTAAATTGATATGAAAGCGAGAAAGAATTCAACGCCATACAGGATGATAATAATATTCGTGGAAGTACCTCAGCAGAGATTCTCGGTGGGGCGTGGGCGTGGGCTTGGAAAACTGAAAACGTGTGTGATGGTTTTGCAAACGGCGAGAGAACACACAACCCGTTTTAAACGAAACCGAAAACGGTTTTCAGATCCTAAGTAGAGGCTGGGCTTTGTGAAAACGGGCCCTTATGGTAACCGCTATTTTCAGTTACCAACTTTATTTGGAGTCTCAAACCAAATCAAACCGACCAAATGAAAACAGATCAGATATTAAAGTAGATTAGACCAAAGCAGATCAGACTTGCACAATTATAGAACACACAAAAATCAGAGATCTATCAGACCAAACCAGACAAATTTAAATCAAACCAGATTAGACTAGATTATATCAGAAAATTTCAGTCTAAATAAAAACATTGTTATTGTGTTAAGTTTTACAATGATCAAATTAAATAAGATTGCAGTTATTTTCTATTTGAAATGACTCAAGTTACAGTAATGATCACTTGAGCTATTTATTCATATAAAATTTTGGAATTTAAACATGATTTTTACATTGTTAGGATCATTTAGTCAACTCACCTTCTTCGATTGGCATTTCATCAGATTCAACATATTCATTTGATTCAATCAATTTCACTTTATCAAAAGGGCTCATAGTCTTCCACTCATTTCATAAAATTTGATCAATTTTGACTAACAAATAAAATTATTAAGTAAAAAATTGAAAGTTAAGATTTGTATAGCATAAAGAGAAATAACACAAAAAGATTATAATAATAAATAAAAATAACAAAATTTCTTGAAACAATCATGAAAATAATGGGATTGACTATTTATGAGAGTATGCTTATGAGACTAGATCTTCGAACAATGTTTGCGTCAATGAAATCTTTTCTTTTAGTTGAGGAGGGGAGATTAAATAAATCTAGTGCGATGGAGGAAGCAAACAAAAAAAAAAGAATGAGCCAAGAATTGGAAGGACTTTTACAAATACCCTAAAACAGAATTTCTTTGACAAAACAACCAAACAAAATTGAATGTATACTTCTTACTGTTGGGATATTGACCTAGAGGCTCAATACCCAGATCGGGAAGGCCCAAGATATCCGGCCCAAGTAATAGGCCCATCACCCTATGATGAGAAGATCCAATAAGAAGACATACCGAACGAGGTTCGGACTATATACTATACTTGGGCCAATTTGACAGCATCTTCAGGATGGACCAACATCCCGTTCGAGCAACGGCCAACCAGCAAGTGGCCAGGTGCAGTTAATGCCAGACTGTGACATCAGCGAGTGGAAGCATGGATGACCAAGTCGGTGCAACAACGGCCAATCAGCAAGAGGCAGCCCATGTTCTCCATTAGTATAAATAGAAGGTTTCAAGTCATTGTAAGGGTTAGCATTTCAATACTCAAGCTCTAGAATAGCATCATTTGCTCTTATTTCTTGGATTAAAGCATAGTTTCCGACTTACCGATCGGGAAATCCCTTGTAATCAGATTGGTTAATTAATACAAGTGAGCTTTCGAGTTTTAGTTAGTTCAGATCTTATATTTTCTTTTACGCTTTGATTCTGGGCCATTCCTGATATATCCAAAGTTCGTGTTGGGCTTTCGGATCTACGGGACTTACCCTCAACATTGGCGCCGTCTGTGGGAAACTTGCAAAAAGTTTCACTTTCTAAACATCCAAAAAACCTCTATTTTTAAAAATGGTCAGAATCAATTCCTATCATACAAACGACGGTTCACACCGTCACGGGAGGAGTCGCACCCCGGGGAGTCAAAACCCCCAGGGACAATCCAGTCGAGGATCCTATCCTCGCGTTAATGGGGATTTTGTGATCCCAGAATCTCTGAGGAGAAATCCCCAGGCCATGCGTGACATGGCCCAATTCATGCAGCACATGGCAAACGAAGAAGAAGGATGTTCCAGCTTTACAGGAGAAACTCCACGCGCGGAAACGACCACAGCGTCATCCCGCTCACATACCCATCGGGAGAATCGACGTAGCGCCCCACCAGCAGCGCATCCCAGTCCCAGTGACCGAACCCCGGTCGGGTCGCAAGCTAGAGGACCCACTCCCGTCGGTCATCATTTCCAACATGCCGAGCGGGGAGATACTAGGGCCCCTCAGCGGCATTGGGACCGGGACTGTGCGGATATGAGGGTTCCACCACCGCCCCCTCTGACGGCCCAGGAGGAAGAGATGGCCGAGATGAGGAGGCAAATGAATGAAATGCGGGACCAGATGAACAGGGTACCTGCACAACCTGCACCAGTCCAACTGGGGATTACTTCCCCGTTTACAAGGGAGCTCATGTACGCGGATATCCAAGGGGGTGCCAAGCCCCCGACCGGCCAAATATATGATGGGGTGGGAGATCCCCACGTACATCTGAGGAGTTACCAAGGCGGACTTATGCTGCTAGGAGCACCCGAGGCTGCCATTTGCCGTTTGTTTTTCAGCACGCTCAGGGGGCCTGCCCAGGAATGGTTCGGGACACTACAGCCCGGGTCAATCAATAGCTTTACCGAGTTATCAACGTTATTCTGGGCTCAATTTGCTTCCAGTGCCAATCCCAAACGGCACTTCAGCTATCTGACCAGCGTGAAGCAAAACGCCAAGGAGACCCTCAACCAATTCCTGAAAAGGTGGAGGGATGAAACTTTAACAGTGGGAAGCATGACGGATGATACCGCCATCACCCTGTTCACGAATGCTCTCCGAACGGGGGAGTTGTACAAAGAATTGAAGAAGAATCCGAGCACGGCGTACGCCGAAGTATTAGATAGGGCGCGCAAGCATGCCGCCCTAGAAGAAGAAATAATGATCAGGGATAAGGTCATTACGTCTGCTGCCCCGATCAGACTGGCTGATCGGCTGGATCCTAGCCCAGCGGCCACTTTACCTCCCAAACAAGGGAGATTTACACCCCTGGTCCTATCAATAGCGGCCATCTATCAGAACGAGAGGGATAATATTCCCATCCCGACTGATTCTGGACAGTTCATGGGAACGGATGACAATGCTTTCTGTAAATATCACAACAGAAAGGGTCATGCCACCAATGCCTGCAGGGCCCTGCAAACGGCAATTGAGGATCTGATCCGAAGGGGCCATCTGGGCAAATATGTGAACAAAGATCCGAATGCAATGGGCACGTTAAGACCGGCCAGGAAACCTAATAGCTGGCGCCGGGATACTCAACGTGACGCCCAGCCTCAGAATGATGTGTATGTTCCTCCCAGAGATGAGCCAGAGGGCTCGGGAGGCCCCGGAAAGAAGCCTCGAATGGAGGTCAAGGTCATATTTGGGGGCAGGGAGACCGGAGATTCGAACGCCGAACGGAAAAGGTTCGAGCGGAGTCTTTATGTGGGATCCGTCTCCGCTCCCCCCCAGAAGAAAGGAAGGACAGACCCGATCACGTTCGGGCCAGCTGATCTACCCAACTCTCCAAGCCCCCACAGGGATGAACTGGTAGTAAGCATGTGTATTGACAATGCTTTAATCCGCCGAGTGCTGGTCGACACTGGGAGCAGTGTGAATGTATTATATCTACAATCATTCGAGAAAATGGGTCTGCAAAGGAGCAACCTGACCCACCTGCGGACTCCACTGGCGAGTTTTACCGGTAACTGCATCGAGGCGGAAGGGACCATCCAATTGATGGTTGAAATTGGAGATGAAACCCACAGAGCGTCACTCCGAATGACGTTCGTGGTGGTAGACATAAAGTGCGCCCATAATGCCATTTTGGGCCGACCGGGATTGGAAGATCTGGAAGCAATAGCCTCTGTCCGCCACTCATGCATCAAATTCCCCACAGACACTGGGGTAGGGGTGGCCAGAACTGACCCAACAACAGCCCGGACATGTTATCGGGAGGCCCTGAAACAGATGAACACTCGTGGGATGCGGGTGAATACAATTGAGGTGGAAACCCACCGAACGGAGTTCGAGGCACATCCGGAGCCCGCCACCCTTCTTGAACAAATCGACCTCGACTTTCCCCCGAACCGTAAGGTCGCTATCGGGGTAGATCTGGAGGCAGATATCCGGGATGGCGTGATTGCCGTCCTCAAAAAGTTTCAGGTGCTATTTGCCCGGGGGCCAGAAGATATGCCCGACATTGATCCAGAAATAATATGCCACAAACTTGCCGTTCGGTCTGATGCAAAACCAGTCCAACAGAAGAAACGATACCAAGCGACCGAACGTCGGGAATTCACCAAGAAGGAAGTGACCACTTTGCTAAGGATAAAGCATATCCGTCGGGTAATCCACGTAGAATGGCTATCCAATGTGGTTCTAGCCCCAAAGCAATCTACCTGGAGAATGTGCGTGGATTACTCCGATCTCAATAAAGCATGCCCCATGGATCCCTACCCAGTGCCGAGGATCGATCTGCTAGTGGATGAGACTGCTGGGTGCGAGTTACTGAGCTTCATGGATGCTTTCCGAGGTTATCATCAGATATTCATGCACCCGGCCGATGCAGAGAAAATGGCGTTTGTTACTTCGGATGGCGTGTTCTGCTACATCGTCATGCCATTCGGATTAAAGAACGCGATGGCAACCTTCCAGAGGATGATCGGGATGCTGTTTAAAGATGTACTGGGTGTCACAATGGAAGCCTACGTTGATGACATCCTGATCAAGAGCAAAAAGAAGGAAAACCATGTCCTGGACATAGAAAAGGTGTTCGGGATAATGCAAAGGGCGAATATGAGGCTCAATCCCAAGAAATGCGCGTTTGCTGTAAGAGGAGGCAAATTTTTGGGGTACATGATGAGCGAGAAGGGGATTGAGCCCAATCCAGAAAAAGTAAAGGCCATTGTGGACATGGAGCCCCCGAGGAATCTCAAGGAAGTACAGAGATTGACCGGTCGGCTAGCAGCCCTGAGCAGATTCCTATCAAAACTGGCCGATCGAGCTATCCCGTTTTTCCAAATCATGAAGAAAGCCAACCCTTTCGAGTGGACGGCCGAATGCCAAACGGCCTTTGAGGATTTCAAGACATATCTGTGTTCCCCCCTGGTCTTGACAAAGCCCGAACCAGGGGAACATCTGTATATGTACCTGGCTGTAGCCGACTTGGCCGTAAGCACGGTTCTGCTGAAAGAAGAAGATGGCATTCAACGGCCAATCTATTTTGTGAGCAAGG